TCATACTGTCTTTTTTGCGTTTATTGAATGCTTGCTCCCCATTCGGGATTCGGCCCGTTTTGTAGGACGATCAATTTTCTGACTTTATTTTTTACTTAATACTCCTATTACCGTATGATTGCCGTTCGGGCATTGGAGGGTTCTGCTAATTTACCAAGGATAAACCCCCTTCTTTCTGGGACTCAGCCGTTCGGACTTCAGATCATTTTTTAGGACTTAGAACATTATGGTTTCAGATAATCTTTTACAACGTTGATAGCCGTTCGGGCTTCAGATCAATTCTTATGACTTAGCCGTTTTCTTGGTTTTCTTCGCACTTAGGCTTCTTCGTTGATAGCCGTTCGGGCTTCAGATCAATTTTTAGGACTTGGTAGTTTTTCTAACCAGCAAGTCCTTGTGATCTTTACTAATCCTCTGTAAGCCCGTTCGTCACTCGGTAACCGGTGATCTAAGTAGGTTTTAGCCATTCCCCCGTGATCTTTACTGATCCTCTGTAAGCCCGTTCGGGGTACGTGCACAAAAATGAACCATAAATGCCCCTGATTAATCGTAACCACTTAATGCCACGTGTTGCTCATGGATTAGGGTTTTGTGCGGCACTTTCCCTATTTATAGAGAGGTGCTTTCCCCTAATTTCTCCTGCTGTTTCCTCACTTTTCTCTCAAGCTTTCTCTCTCTAGAATTCCCAGAATTCTCTTGCGTACTTTCAAGCTTTCTATCTCTAGAATTCCCAGAATTTCTTCAGTGTTTTTATGTATTACCCCTCTAGCTTAGAATCTGAAGAGATGCCGTTGATTCGCCTAAGTAAAACATCTGCTGGTAACAAGGCCGAAGGCTCTTCTTCCCAAACCCCTAAACCCGGCAATCCTCAGGCAGGAAAACACACCGAACAGCTACAAGATGATGGATGCCTATCAGGTGATGATGTCCAGGTTTATAACAAGGGAATGCCCGAACGGCCACCCCGCATTCCCCTACACTTTACTCGTATCCGCAAACAAAAACAACGCCTCCCAGAAGATATCGAACGGCAACTTAGCCAGCTATTGCCCCCACCAAGGGAATACTATGCTGGATTTATTCGACACCCGATGAGGCATCGACCGGGGCACGTGCTAGTGCACCTTGACGCTTTGACTGCTGGACTTCGCTTCCCTCTCCATTCGTTCATCGTGGAGTTCTTACGCCGGGTTTCTGTACTACCCGCTCAGTTCGTGCCAAGCACTTACCGCATTCTTACAGGCTTTATTATTCGATGCCACGAGTTGAGGATCACTCCAAGCGTCGACTTATTCCTCCACCACTACTGCTATCAGCCCTATTGGACGACCGGGTACCTGAAGTTGGTAGCTCGTTCTGATCGTCAGCTGTTCACAGAAAATCTCACTCCGCCGGCTGATTGGGAGGAGCGTTTTTTGTTTGTTGGGGTAGGTGATTCTCTGCCATTTCCGGATAGGTGGAACGCCTATCCCGTTCGGGATTCCCAGCCCAGGGTAGATGCCGTTCTACGCTCCCAAGCTGAATCTCTGCGGATGGGAGGAACCCGAAGTCTCCGGAGTTTTGTCACTACTTCAAACATGTTATCCGCCGGAATTGGTAAGCGTAATACGGTTTTAACCCGATCGTCCTTCCTTCTTTCAATTTAGCTTTGTCTCTTATTCCCCTTTTTTGCAGGTGTGATATCTCTCATACCCGTCCGGCGTTCTATTTCTTCCGCTACTCTGACGGCTTCTTCTGGCAAAGGCAAGGAGAAAATGATAGCCGATCATGCCTCTGCGGAGCAAACCCGGAAGAAACGCAAGGGGAATGATGGCAATCAATTGATCCTGATCGATCATGTGGTTGATTTGACCGGGTCGGAGGGTGAACCCAAAAAATCTGCACCTGCCAAAACGACAACTCCGGCTCTCTCTGACGCACCGATCGATGATCGGATGTTTGTCGAATTTTCGAACATGGGGCCCAGATCAGAAGGGAGGTATCTGTTCGGGCTGATGCCATCTTCTATGTGGTGTCACACTGCGATCAAGGTTCCCCCAAGCTTCACGAACTTGACCCACTGGTCGGATCTTTTTGAAGCAGGTCACCAGGAAGCACTCAAGGTACACCTCATTCTGATCCATGCCTTTCTGTTCTTCATGTTTTATCTTATCTGACTTCTATTACAATCTCGTTTTCAGGTCGGTGTATACTATCACAAGGCCTTTCTTGCGGCCGAAAAGGAAATGAAGGCCCTGGCCAGCGATCGGGATGACAGCCAGATCCTTCTTTCTGCCGCTCAGAAGTTAGCGGCCGATCTTCAAGAGCAGGCCAAGGAGGGTGAGAAGGCAAAAGCTGCTCTGGCTGAGATGCAGAAAAAATCCCGACGTCGCGACCGGGAGATTAAAGAACTCCGGGCCAAGGTGTGAGCTGTTGAATCCGTTGGGATCAAATTTGATAAAGCCGTTGGCGACCATCTGCCCGAACCTTATACGGTTAACACATCCCAGATTGCTCATCAATCGATTGTTGATTTTCAACGGGGCAAGGGGCTGAACGTCGCTCTGGAGAACACGGCCCGGCAGTTCCTGGGACCTCACCTTGGCCAATTCCTACGTGAAAGCGAAGATCCCATCAAGACAGTGATCGATCACCTGGACAGCACGCCGGAAGGGAAATCTTTCTTGGATGACCTGACCGAGAAAACTGTGAAGCAAAGTCAGGACCTGCTTCTGGATAGGAACCTCGATTTGATCCTAGAGCATTTCCCCAAGCCGTTCGACCCTGACGAATTAGGCTTTGACGATCTGTTCGGGAATACATATGACCGTATCATGGAGAAAAGGTCCAAAGCAGCGCCTGATGATGCAGTGCAGGAAGAGAGCTCTCAACCTCCATCTTCCCCGAACGGCCATCCTCCAGTAGCATAGCCTTGTATTTTTTGCTTTTTTGTCCTTTGTTTTTCTTGTATATTCCGGCTAGTAATGCCGAAGAATAAACTGGACTTTTCTCTTTAACTGTTGATGTCTTTCTTCTATTTTTCCTTTGATTTTTCTTGTTCACAATCCTTTCTATGTGGCCGAACATCACTCGGCTCATGTATCTTTATGTCTGACATCTTTCCCGAGCCCGTTTTGATCCCTTTTCCGTTCGTGATCCACGGGGTCAAAACTCTTAGCTGAGGTGAATACCTCCAAACCGTTTTGATCGTGACCACAGGGTCAAACTCTCAGCTGGGACAGGGGCTCCCTCCAAACTGTTAACACGTTCGTCATTCGGTCATCCGGAATGATCCCATGTGTTAACAAGCTGAGGTGAGGCTATCTCTTCAAAATTGTTCTGACACCTTTCCCGAGCCCGTTTTGATCCCTTTTCCGTTCGTGACCCACGGGTTCAAAACTCTTAGCTGAGGTGAATTCCTCCAAGCCGTTTTGATCGTGACCACAGGGTCAAACTCTCAGCTGGGACAGGGGCTCCCTCCAAACTGTTAACCCGTTCGTCATTCGGTCATCCAGAATGATCCCACGTGTTAACGAGTTGAGGTGAGACTATCTCCCTTCCAAACCCATAATTCCGATGCATTCCGAACTATTCTCTCTGGCTCGTATCATCCATATTAGGGGTCTGAGGTAACCCTTTTCGAACTGTAAGCAAGGTCACCGGATTGGGTCATTCCTTACTTATAGCTAAAAGGGCGACTCGCTTCCGAATCAAGTTAATGACTGAGGCGAGATTTTTCAAAACCATAGTTCCGATTCCCCGGGCGACAATCCGTACCTTATCCGAACGTCGCTCGGTCAATCCATATCTTACAGTCTTGACACCATCTCCAAGCCGTTTCGATCCCTTTGCCCGTACGTAATTACATGGTCGACTTTGGCTAAGTTGACGACTCAGCTCCCTCCAAACTGTTAACCCGTTCGTCATTCGGTCATCCGGAATGATTTTGCGTGTTAAAAAGCTGAGGTGATAATCACTGTCCTCGAACTCCAGGCCATTTTGATCCCTTCATCAATGCGTAATTACAGGGTCAAAACTCTTGTTGAAATAATGGCTTCCTCTAAACTGCTAATATGTTCATCATTCGGTTCTCCAGAACGATTCTCATATTAACCGCTGAGGTGAGACTATCTGAGTGTCAAACTCCAAGCCGTTGGCTGAGAATGACTTTCCTTCCATGCTGTTAACTCGTTCGTCATTCGGTCATCCGGAATGATCGTGTTAACCACGGGCACCGATTTTCTGAGCCTCAATTCTTCAAGTCGTTTTTTATCCCTTTATCCGTTCATAAATCTAGGGTCAAAAACTCCCTTAGCTGAGAATGATTTTCCTTCCATGTTGTTAACCCGTTCCTCATTCGATCATCCAGAATGATCGTGTTAACCATGAGCTGTGTTTATGTGGAAGTTATGTCTCCCTCTCTCTACATTTTTTTACATACATACATATATATATATATATATATCACTCACACACACACACACACACATACACACACACACACACACACACACACATATATATATATATATATATATATATATAAGAGATCAAATACAAACCATGCTTAAAATTCTAACCTACAAACTCAATAATATGCATCACTTTAAACTTCAATATACAGTAAAAATAATGTAAAGATGCAGGGGTGTGATCACATACAAACTAGCCCTTCCATTCAAATGATCTTTACATTATTTGTATTGCACATTGAAGTTCAAAATGTTTCATATTATTCAAGCCATAAAATAGCAGTTTCATATTTACATTATTTGTATTGCATATTGAAAATCAAAGAGTGCTTTTTTACATTATATGTACTGCATATTGAACTTCAGAGTGTTGCATATATATATATATATATATATATATATATATACGAGGGACAGGGCGAGGACGGTGCGGAGTGCATAACCTATCACCCGCCCCATATTTAAGCCGGGAGGAAATAATTCCCCATCCCCATACCCACCCCAACTCCCCCCACAGGGCCCGCCCCCATTGCCCCATCCTTACTCGGCACTCTCTCATAACCTCATTCTAATTTCCAGAACTCTTCCAAATTCCCCATATAGAACCCAACCCTAGACTAGAAGCCCTAAACAGAAAAGATACAACTATTCCCGGTGGTATAACATAATGGTGTAGAGAGGCTCCTACTATCCGACCATCAATCAATCGGCAAAGCACTATGGGTTTCGATGAACAGATGGGTTGGAAATCCGCAGAGGAGAAACGGTACAAGAGAAGGTCAAAGGAGAAAGAGGGTGAGGCAAGAGTCGAGACGATGGGTCGATGTTCTTTTTATAATGACCTTCTTCCAGCGAAGGCAGGTGTTGGGAAGAAACTGAGTGACAATAGAGGAGGAAGTGATGCTGTTGTTGCTGAAGGCGAAGCTGTGGATGCAACTGCCTGGGGGAGCGAAGAAGCAGCAGTACAGAATAGGAAGCAGGAAAGAAGAGGGATGGAGGAAGTGCCTATTCGGAGTTCTCTCTGTTTTGAGAAAGCCGCTGTTTCTATTAGCTGCGGCACTGATGAAATAAGAGGCAGAGTGATGCCTATGCAAGTGAGTGACTTGACCAAAGTAGGGAAGGGGAAAAGGGGGAGAGATGGTTCTAAGTACGGGAGTGGATTAGACCCTCTTTCTCCAATGACTAATTGTATTAAGGGTTGCTATGACAGTGAAGAAAAATCCTCAAAGAAGATAAGAATGGGTTGCAGGGGGGGTGCTGTTGTGAAAGCTCGCAGTTTTGAAGATGGAAATGTAGGTAGTGGTGTGGCTAGAGAGGGAAATGAAGCAAAAAAGAACACAAGAAGACCCTCAAATATGAGGGTGGAGGAGAAAGAGGTGGATGGAGTAACCAAGGCGAGTTCTTCTTTTGCTGCTGCTGCGGCCTCTGCTCGAGAGGAAGATGAAAAGAGGAAGCTGGAATGGTGTACGGAAGAAAAGCAAGGCTTCCTCCTTTCCAACATTGATGACAAGAAAGCTGCTGATGATAATGATGATGAAGAAGTTAAGTTGGATTCTAGGAGTACAGAATATAGAGGGGATGAGGCTGCTAGACCAGTGTGTCGGAACATTGAGGATGATCTGGCTCAATTTACATACATACCAGAAAAAGATGGCAGAATAAGTCCGCTAAAGGAAAAAAAGAGGTGCTTGCATATAGAACCCAACCCTAGACTAGAAGCACTAAACAGAAAAGATACAACTATTCCCGGTGGTATAACACTATGGTGTAGAGAGGCTCCTACTATCCGATCATCAATCAATCGGCAAAGCACTATGGGTTTCAATGAACAGACGGGTTGGAAATCCGCAGAGGTGAAACGGCACAACAGAAGGTCAAAGGAGAAGCAGGGTGAGGCAAGAGTCGAGACGATGGGTCGATGTTTTTTTTATAATGACCTATTTCCAGCGAGGACATGTGTTGGGAAGAAACTGAGTGACAATAGAGGAAGTGATGCTGTTGTTGCTGAAGGCGAAGCTGTGGATGCAACTGCCTGGGGGAGTGAAGAAGCAGCAGTACAGAAAAGGAAGCAGGAAAGAAGAGCGATGGAGGAAGTGCCTATTCGGAGTTCTCTCTGTTTTGAGAAAGCCGCTGTTTCTATTAGCTGCGGCACTGATGAAATAAGAGGCAGAGTGATGCCTATGCAAGTGAGTGACTTGACCAAAGTAGGGAAGGGGAAAAGGGGGAGAGATGGTTCTAAGTACGGGAGTGGATTAGACCCTCTTTCTCCAATGACTAATTGTAGTAAGGGTTGCTACAACAGTGAAGAAAAATCTTCAAAGATGATAAGAATGGGTTGCAGGGGGGGTGCTGTTGTGAAATGCCGCAGTTTTGAAGATGGAAATGTAGGTAGTGGTGTGGCTAGAGAGGGAAATGAAGCAAAAAAGAACTCAAGAAGAAGCTCAAATATGAAGGTCACAGAGAGAGTAATCAAGGCGAGCCCATGTCTTGCTACTGTCCAGGAAGATTTAGTTTCTCCATCTTTTGTGCAATATCCCAGTTTTAAAGATGGAAATGTAGGTGCTGTTGTTAGAGAGGTAAAAGCAGCAAAAAAGAAGTCAAAAAGACCCTCAAATATGAGGGTGGAGGAGAAAGAGGTGGATGGAGTAACCAAGGCGAGTTCATCTTTTGCTGCTGCTGCTGCGGCCTCTGCTCGAGAGGAAAATGAAAAGAGGAAGCTGGAATGGTGTACGGAAGAAAAGCAAGGCTTCCTCCTTTCCAACATTGATGACAAGAAAGCTGATGATAATGATGATGAAGAAGTTAAGTTGGATTCTAGGAGTACAGAATATAGAGGGGATGAGGCTGCTAGACCAGTGTGTCGGAACATTGAGGATGATCTGGCTCAATTTACATACATACAAGAAAAAGGTGTCAGATTAAGTCAACCTGCTGCTGCTGGTACTACAAAATCGTCATATTCAAGGGCGGCAGGTGGTGGCCATGGCCAAAGGCTTAAGAAAAGGGCGGCAGCAGGTGGCCACGGCCAAAGGCTTAAGAAAAGGGCAACAGCAGGTGGCCACGGCCAAAAGCTCAAGAAGGCCGGAGAAACTAAAACTAAACCTGTTTTAACCGCTGCTCAGAAGCGAGATGAAGCTTACCTAAGGAAGATGCCAGGTAACAATTGGAACCCGCCCCGTTCACCTCATAATCTCATTCAAGAAGATCATGTCCATGATCCGTGGAGGGTTCTTCTCATTTGCATACTACTTAATTGCACACGTGGGAAAAAGGTAATTCTAATACATATGTCATACTTCCTCCCTCCCAATTTCATAAGATACATTTTAAAAGGGTGATAGCTTTCCTAATTTAAACATCCATATTTTAGTTTCTCTTACCCTCCCTTCTGCTATCTCTCATGTCTTTCTCGGTCTGTATTTAGTATTTGTTGGACCAACTTTTTTAATGTTTTGGTCCGTTATTTATCACTTGATTAATTTGGTCACGAAAAATAAATCTGATTTGCAAATATGAAGAAATCATCCACATTACAGTAAGATGTCACATTTCTTCGTCTTCCAAACAAGATAAACAAAAAATTCTGTTGATATTAATGAGCAATAACTAGACATTTAGAGTAACAAAACTAGGCATCACAAAATACAGAAATAGCTCGTACAAAATAGACTACATAAAGAACAAAATTGCCAACAAAAATAGGCTGCAAGTTACAGAGTCTTCCCACTTCAACTAAAAATGTTGTGCACGAAATATATAAACATCCTATACAAAATTGACTACTTAAAGAACAAAGTTCCCAACATAATAAATTGCAAGTTTCAAAATCTTCCCACTTCAACAAACAATGTTGTGCAGCATGAATTGCATGAAAATTTCCAACAAAAAATAGGTTGCAAGCCTGCAAATTTGAGTCATCCCACTTCAAAAAAAGTTGTAGACTACAAATTGCATAAAATTTTTATGGTTGAAGGGCTGATATTGCATCACTCAATACTTCTAAGTCACATGAAATGGTATTTGGCAATCGTCCTTCTCGCTCCAACTTTAGCTTGTTGATGTGTGGCAACTTGTAGTTATTACAACAACAACAACAACATCCAAGCCTTATTCCCTCTGAAAATTTTCATAACCTCCAACTTTAGCTTGTTGATGTGTGGCAACTTGTAGTGATAAAAAACATTGTTAAGACTTCCAACGGGTGTTTCGTCAAAGGCCTTTTGAGTAGCAGCAACAAGTTCATCAACATTACGTGGAGCTTCTTGATGTTGTAATGATCGAATAGCTCTAAAGAACCCATAATCTAATACATTCATATCCAGACTGTTAGGAGGCTGTCACAGTAATTAAATATCAAACCCATCTTTCTATGAAGGCTCTATAAAGTCAGCATCATTGTCGCTAGTATGGGGTTTCACATTATCTTTTTAGATATATATATATTTTTGAACCGTTTGAAGGCAATTTCCCCTTATGGCAGGCAACACAAAATCTATTAGCCATTTCCTAGTAACATCCTTGGTTACACATTGAGTTGATTTAGTTTCTTATTTACCAACTTTTCTATTCTTACTTCGATGCTTAGCTGCTTCCTTATAGATGAACGGAAGTATGCCAATTTTTCCATCAAAAATCTCAATTTTCTGCATCAAATTGAGATCGAGCAAGAACACATAGAAACATGGTTTTTACTATAAACTTTATACTCTTACAAGTGTGATAAGGTTCATTCTCATTGGGATGCATATAGTATTTTTGAGAACATTTGGAAAGAAAGAACCACTTTTCGTCAATGTGAACACGATCATACATATCCATGAAAGATGGAGTATAGGGACATGAGTTCGGATCAATCATGGATATGCAAAATTGTAATCTTACAGTCTGATCATGGTTTTAAAAAGCGTTTCGCTTTTACGTCCCTGAGGCACAAAGGCGTTCATTAATCGCCTGCAAGTCTTAAGCCTTACCTCCCATTAACAAGGCTTGCGCCTTTGTTTTGCTTAGGCTTCCAAGCGGTCTGTGGGCGCAAGGCGTAGATGAGGCGTACCCCTCTAATTCTACGCAAGTTGGGCTTATTTTTTGATTTATTGGGGGCCTCGTTTTATTTTCCACCCTAAATCTAAAATACTAAATACCTGGTCGCGTCGCTCGATTATCAGTTAGTCGACAGCCCTAGGTCCTCGCATATCGCTGTCTTCAACTCTTCTATGATATTAGCTAACAACGACTTCAAGAGCTGTTCAGCCTGCTATCTCAGACGAAGCTCCAGTACGGAGACTTCAGGAGCTGCTTCTTGCTTCGTCCATGTAATTATAAAATATCCCACCGCCCAACTTCTATTTTTATTTAATGTTTTAGCTATTTAAAAGTTCATTTTTGAACCATTTAATAATATCACCCGTTTTTATAACTATTTAATACACTTTTATTTAGCGCACTACTATTTATTCTGCCAGAGTATTAGTCCTATGGCCAATCTGATGTTTGTCTGTTTTTAAGTTAACATTATTAGTTACGTAGTATTATTTATTAGCCTAGGTTTAAACTTTAATGTTATCGTATAAAACTATCATTTAGCTTAATAATTTATTTGTTTTAATACTCTGTATTTTACTAGTTTGCTTGACTCAAGATTTACAATTTAATTCGAAATATTTATACGGAGTATTTAACTTCATTACAATTTGGTTTTATACTTATTTCTTTTTTACTTGTGATTTGTTAAGCTGCACCATTGTTATGAATTATCTATACTATTGTTATGCATTTAATTTCGAGGCTTACGCCTCGTTACGCCTCGAGGCTTACGCCTCGTGAGGCTACCACTGAACGCCTCGGGGCCCGATTTCGCCTTTCAAAACCTTGCTTCTGATTTTCATCGGTCTATGTTGGATTTATAGCATTTGTGTGAGCTCTCAAACATCCTTCCTTTATTCTCCTATGAATACTTGTTTTTGACATGTTAAGTGCAATAGATGTGGAGCGAATGGTAGTCCGTTGCTTTAAAGGAATTCTACCAACATCATTGGCATCAATCTGAATTCTTTTCCTGCCAACTCTCCCAGATAAATTCAGTGAAACATCCACAGGTGTACCATCTTTAATGCAAGCAATTACCTTTCTCCATATTCTACCAACCGCTATTTTGGAAACAGAATCTTGTCTTGCCACATCTCTTATTGAGCAACGTTTTGCCCTTCAATCTACATTATGATTTAGCAACGCTTCGAATATTATCTTCCTTTCATCAAGTGAAAGTCTTTTGCGTGACTTAAGAGCGTTGAGCATCATTATTGTTTTCTTCTCCTATGAACTCCATTGGTATAAATTTGAGGACAAATTTACCCCCACTTTCCCCAAAGATATGGACTAGTGTAAATTCTATGGAGCAACAAAGTACACATACGCCATAAAACTGCAAAAAATTACCTGTATATAGTTAGACTAAGTACTCCCTAACTCTTAATTTTAAGCAAAACATTGTATAAAATAAATTTGTGCGGAGGATCATAATACGAAACCCCAACCATAAAAAACCCAATCATAAAAAACTACCTTAAATTAATTTAGTATAGCTGGTCTGAAAGGAAATCCGAACAACTAAGCTATCTTCTTCAACATGAACCAGATCTTCTTCAACATTCACTGGGTCTGTAGCTTTTAATGGGTATTTGTAACTTTTTTAAATGTACAACACATTTCACTGGGTCTGTAGCTTTTAATGGGTATTTGTAACTTTTTTGAAGATAAAGCTTCATGAATAGCTATGCTAAATACTATGTAATTGAATGGCCCCAATTACTCCGTATGAATGAGATGGAGCAGCTTTGAATATGCAATTCTAGATAAGAGTCTCTCCAATGAGAGAAAGAGAAAATTCAATCAGCAGATATACTATTCTGTATGTATTAAATATTTGACACGTGTTGATGGCAGAGGTAATCATTTTACAGCTGTAAAAGTTTTGACGTATGAGGCGACGGTCTATGTACCCACGAGGAGGGTGAAAATGGAATAGCAATAGCTTCTTACAGCTTTTACTAAAACCTGTGCCCAATGAAGTGCATTTTACATTTCGGGACTGGGGGAGTAAAAAATAGTGTTCTTTTGCCAAAATTTATAACTGCATTTTGGTTGTGGTTGATGTTTGGCTTGAGGTTGGCAAGCCTTATGTAAGCGCTGGATGGACATCCATCCACCAACCTACCTTCATTATAGTCAGTTATTGTGTTTTATTGCAATACTTCTTCAGCTCAAACTAAGAAAAACTACGGGTTGAAGACACGGTTTATTTTTTTGTACTTTTGCATTTGCTTTTGTTTTTTTTGTTTATTCTCAAGTCATGAAGAAGCAAGCAAACTGTAATCTAGTATAGCATTTCATCGTCTTTTTTCGTTTTTGCTCTTCTTTATCTCTTATAGTGAGCGAATGTAGGTTAGCAAAGCTCTACCAGAACTATTGGATTTGTGTCCAAACGCAAAGGCTGCTTCAGAAGTTGATGTCGCGCAAATTGAACAAATTGTGGAACCATTAGGCTTATGCAGGCAAGTTAAGATTCAGCGTTTTTCTCGGGAATATTTGGAAGATAGTTGGACTCATGTTACCCAGCTGCATGGTATTGGCAAGTATGTTATGTTCTTTGATCTGTATAATGAATGAAAGAATGAACTTTGTGTACCTAAGCTTCTGCTAACCTTTCTTTCGGGATTGTGGTTCAGGTATGCTGCTGATGCCTATGCAATATTTTGTACTGGCAAATGGGATCGCGTGAAACCAGTAGATCACATGCTTGTTAAATACTGGGAGTTTCTCCACACTTCAAGCCAATTGAGGGATGAGACGCGTGTTTAGAAAGTGTGTGATTTTCTTACCACAAAAGGTAATGAGGGAATGGTAAATTTGGCCTTAGTATATCTTATTAGCTATTTAACGACCACGTGCCAAGGGGAGGCGGCTGCCTCTTCATGTGGACTATCATTTTGTAACCGAACTTTTTTTGGGTATCAAGTAGATGATGACATACTTTTATCTCATTACATATTTACATATAATCTCATTACATATATCTTCTCACTTATTAGTCCATTGATTTTCAAGTGAGGTTTGAAAACCCCCACGGTGTTCTTGGTCCACAGTTTGCTCGAGTCATCCTTAATTAGCTTGTAAGCTTCCTGACTGGTCGTTACCACAAGTACCAGTATAAAAATAAATACCAAAGTTTTTTATAGTGTGTAAGCTTTCCTGTCATTAATTTTTCAAACGTAGTTCTCAAATAAGAATTGCATTGCCAGTACAATCGCCATGTCACCCATTCCACACCTTTCACTATGCCTGGACCCAATTTGGTTCCGGACTCGAACCAGTTGGTCCTGGGCATGGACCCGGGTCGGTCTGGTCCCGGTTCTGAACTGAGATTGCCCGGTCCAAAAAATCATTTGTATAACCGGGTATGGGTTTCTGGCTGGTTCAGGCACTCAGTTTGTGTGCTCCTGGACCTGGTATATATTTTTCAGTATATACAACAAGAGAAATAGATCTCCTCAGGTGGTTCACACGGAATTGCTTTTCAGCCAAGACCATTTGGGCCTCTTCCTGATCGATTTTTTTGATGAAATTTTATGAGCATACTATTCACCAAGTGCACATTATCTCCATAAAATTTCAGTTTAAAACTCAATCAGGAAGACAGTTAAATCAATTATTGAAACATATTGCGTTTTATCTATATATATATAGAGTGTACTATGTTTTAATAAGTTATTTAAATATATTCCCAGTTGAATTGTAAGTTGAAATTTTGTGGGCATGCTAAAAAATTTCATTAAAAAATTCAACTGGGAAGAACTTTAAGTTATTGATGGACCCGGGCCGGGTCGGGCCGCCGGGTAGTATGACATGGGCCTGGGACCGGCCCGAGGGTTGGACGGGTCCGGGCCGGGCCGGGCCGGGCCACCCGTCCGGGTCACGGGTCGGGTCCGGTTCGGGCCGGGCCGGTTAAATGTTTTTTTTATATAATTTATATTTTATAGTTTATAGTTTTATACGAGTATTAAAAACAAACTTCAATTGCATTTATTTGAAATGAAATAGGAACTACATTTGAAAATTAAAACAAACTTTAAGAGAAACATTTTGAAAATTGTAATCAATCGGAACTTCCCGCACCTCCCGATCCTTTGGCTTTGTCACATGATTTCATATGCTTGATTGCCATCCCGAATCCGCTAGAAACCCCCATGCTACATTTTTTCTCGCACCATTTGCAAATTGCGTACCACATCCCGGTCTTCGGGTCCTTCTGCTTCTCAAAATTATACCGTATAATGGCATCTTGATTTTCCATCTTAACTTCTTAAGTATAAACTATAATGTAGAGTTGTGTGGTGGAGAGTTGTGCAGAGGAGAGAGAAATGCTGTGAACCACAAATTCTTTGCCAAAAAAGGAAAGGGAAGTTCTTTTTGGGATGGACGAAAAGGGAAAGTTGGAAGTATTTTCAGGGACGGAGGGAGTAAATAATAAATATAATATATTGGAGAATAAGAGAATTAGAGAGTAGAGAGTTAAGAATAGGATTTAGGAAGAATTGGAGAAGAGATATGAAAAAAAGTTTAAGATTAGGAGTATTTGTAGGTTTTTTTACCCCCCACCCCCCCCCACCACCCCCCACCACCCCCCCACCAGCCAACCCCCCGGACCCCCCTTTACCCCACCCCCAACGGCTAGTAGCCCAAGATTTAATTTTTTTTTTAAAAATAGGACCGGACCCGGGCCCGACCCGGCCGGGCCGGGTCACATTATTCCAGCACCGAGCCCGCCCCGCCCCTTCCCACCGGTTCGGGCCCATACCCGGTCCCGGACCGCCCAACCGGGCTGGTCCCGGGCCCGCACAGTATCGGGCCGGGCCGGGTCACGGGCAGGGTGGCCCGAACCGACTCCACCCCTACTTTAAGTAGGCTCGTTTGAACGGCGGTTTTGGTCAAGCGTGTCTATACAAAAATAAATAGGTAGTATACATTAAAGTTTAAATGCAAGTGTATTGCAAAAACTAAATTGGCTTGAAAATTTTATATGCGATAAATATTAAAATGTGGTCAATATTAAAATGTAATAAATATTAAAATGTGACTAATATTGAAATGTAATTAGTATTCAAATGTCACAAATATTTATTATACGAAAAGTTCACATGGGAAGCCTTGTCCGAACTCGCTTATTAGAGTTTAGATTATCTCCACCAATTTTCAGCTTAAAATTCAATCGTGAAATCAGTTAAATAAATTATTGAAAAAAGTGTTTTTTGTATACATTTTGGTGCACTGGTGTTGAGGTTTATTCCTCTCAACCCACAGGCCCAACACGTAACCTGGGGGTTTCGAATGGGTAGAAGGCAAATGAACTCACTAAGTCAACGAGGGGTGGATTTAATAATAACTGCTTTCTTCACTATTATGATTACAAGCCGAAAGGCCGAACGTACAGAAAATATACTACGTACTGCTGATGCTATTACAACTCTAGAGTAACGATGTGAGAACCCTTTACAATGAAATAAATGCGACTATTTATAGTACCCCTTGGTGGTTGGGGGGCTGACGTGGCCGGCTGTGGGCGACATGATTCCAACCACCAAATCTTCAGCATTAAATGCGCTTCCCGCCAAGATCTTGGTTTCCCGCCATAACGCGAGGGACGTCCATCCCTTGAATTGGACTCAACTCTTTAGTGGCAACCGGGGCCTTTAAGTATAGCCCACAAGATGTCCCTCCCCTGGCCCTTGGACCCTGAGGCCTGGCTATGCTGGGCTACGTACGTCCCCTGGCCCTTGGACCCTGAGGCCTGGCTATACCGGGCTACGTACGTCCCCTGGCCCTTGGACCCTGAGGCCTGGCTATGACGGGCTACGTACGTCCCCTGGCCCTTGGACCTTGAGGCCTGGCCAAGGTGGGCCACGTACGTCCCTTGGTTCTTGGGCTTCAGGGGTTGATGGGCCGGTCCTGGAAGGCCATTAACCCAACACAAGTCCCCCACTTCTGATGTTCCGAGCCTGCGCGGGACATGAAGAAGTAAGATAACTTCCGCCGTACCGCTTAGAGCCGTTGCTCCCTTTTCTCTGGGTGATGGTTACTTTCCACCGTACTGCCTTGAGCCGTTGCTCCCTTTTCCCCAGGTGACGGTTACTTTCCGCCGTTGTTTGCGGGACTCTAGGTGCCAACTATCAGGCCGGTTCAACTTCCAACAAAAAAAGTAATCATTCCGTATCAGCCCGTCTCTATGCGACACGCGTCCCTGTATACGCTCCTTGCCACGTGTCGCCCGCGGGTTGGTTGTTGAGTCGGTGCCTTCCCTTATAAATACCGAAAATCAGGGAAGGGTTAGGGCTTTTCATCTGTTGTCTTCTCTGGTCTTCTCAGCGCCGATCAACGATTATCTCGGTCCCGGTGTTCGTTTCTTTTCCAAGCTCCTAGCAAAGGTAATTCCCCGACTCCAATCTTCTCCTTTTTTCTCGTACATCTCCCCATGGCCTGCTCCATGGAGATTTCTCCCTCTTCGGAAACTAGCTCCAGTTCTTCTACTGGTTCTTCGGCCAGTTCATCTTCGGCGTCAGAACTCAGATCCCGTTCTTCGGCTGAAGCGAGTGGTTCTGGCCGTTCCAGCACTTCTTCAATGACAGTCCCCGATGTAGTAATTGATGCCGCTGTCCCGGTCGCAAGGGAATATGTTGACATGGCCGTTGACCCTGAAAACGCCGTTGCGATGGCGGCACAACCTGCCGCGGCGGCGGGGCATCCATCCGACCACGACTCGGGTGAGGAGGCTGAAGAAGGGGATGACCTCCGAATCTACAAGCGGGGCATCCCCATGGACGATCACAGGCACATTGTGCTTATTCCGAACGTAGCTGTGATCGAGCAGGTTTTTTCCAAAAGGGCCTTGAGGGAACTGCAAGTTATCCTCCCCCCACCTGCCTATTATAGCCTCCGGGGCACAGATAACCTCTTTATGAGACGTTCGGGGATGGTGATGGTACATATGGACTCTCTGAAGGCCGGACTGCGGTTCCCGCTACATCCGTTTTACCTGGACTTCTTCGAGTTTTACAGCGTGGTCCCGGCTCAATTCATGCCGAACTCCTACCGCCACATCTCTGCGTTCCTTGTCCTTTGCAAATCGTTGGGGCTCGCTTTCTCCCTGGAGCTGTTCCTTTATTTTTTCCAAGTTACCCCCCAAAATGCTGATGGGTTCCTGAGCGTGGCCGCTCGTCCCAAGAGAAAGCTGTTCGAGGGGGCTCCCTCCTCTATCCATGACTCGAAGAACCGCTACTTCTTTATTCGTTATGCGAACGATCGGCTCCCTGTACAGTGGATTGGGTACCCTCCGAAGGTCCAGACACCGGAGCTGACCTCAGTGTTGCGGGAAGCCGTGGACAAGCTGAGGTTGGGCGGCATTAGGAAATTAAAAGGCCTTCTGACCATTGAGGCACTCTCCAACGCTGGGATAGGTACCACCCGTGATCCCTGGACTGGCCTTCTCTAGTGTTCATCTTGTGGGCCCGGGCGGTCTGTTCCCTGAGGAGAGTGCCTTTGTGATTCGCACCGCCCGGTACTAATGTTACTTTTCCGTTTTTCAGGTCCTCCCCCTACTCAAGAGCAAATGGACAACGCGGCTATGGCGGCTCGTCGTGAGGCAAAGGCTGCCAAGGAACGGGAGGTGCTAGCTAAAGCCCGTGCGGCCGCTCAATCCTCTAGGGCCACCTCTTCGGCCGCGTCCCAGGCTAGTCAGCGGGTTGTCGATGCAGAGCGGCTTCTGGTCGCTGAGGTGACTGGGCAAACCTCCGAGGCCCCTCTTCCAGATAACCGGGTTCTGGATGTGAACCCGGTCGGCGTTGCTATCCCTGCTGGCGGGGATAAGGATAAGGGGAAGAAGACGAAGAGGCCGCGCCTTGAGCCCTCCCTCCCAAGTCTACGAGCGTCGCGGTTCCCTCCGCCGTTCGTCCCATTTCTGAGGTCTGGAAGGACATGGCCCTCCAGGCCGGGCTAGAGTTATCAGGTCGTTCCTCGGGCGACTCTGTT